TAGGTGAGTGACTAGGTGAGTGACTGGGTGAGTGTCTAGGTGAGTGACTGGTGAGTGACTGGGTGAGTGACTGGTGAGTGACTGGGTGAGTGTCTAGGTGAGTGACTGGGTGACTAGGTGAGTGACTGGGTGAGTGACTAGGTGAGTGACTAGGTGACTAGGTGAGTGACTAGGTGAGTGTCTAGGTGAGTGACTGGGTGTCTGGGTGAGTGACTGGGTGAGTGACTAGGTGAGTGACTAGGTGAGTGTCTGGGTGAGTGTCTGGGTGAGTGTCTGGGTGAGTGACTAGGTGAGTGACTGGGTGAGTGACTGGCTGAGTGACAAGTTGAGTGACTGGGTGAGTGACTAGGTGAGTGACTGGGTGAGTGACTAGGTGAGTGACTAGGTGAGTGACTAGGTGAGTGACTAGGTGAGTGACTGGGTGAGTGACTGGCTGAGTGACTGGGTGAGTGTCTAGGTGAGTGACTGGGTGAGTGACTGGCTGATTGACTAGGTGAGTGTCTAGGTGAGTGACTGGGTGAGTGACTGGGTGAGTGACTAGGTGTCTAGGTGAGTGACTGGGTGAGTGACTGGGTGAGTGACTGGGTGAGTGTCTAGGTGAGTGACTGGCTGAGTGACTAAGTGAGTGTCTAGGTGAGTGACTGGGTGAGTGACTAGGTGAGTGACTGGGTGAGTGTCTAGGTGAGTGACTGGCTGAGTGACTAAGTGAGTGTCTAGGTGAGTGACTGGGTGAGTGACTAGGTGAGTGACTAGGTGAGTGACTGGGTGAGTGACTGGGTGAGTGACTAGGTGAGTGTCTAGGTGAGTGACTGGCTGAGTGACTAAGTGAGTGTCTAGGTGAGTGACTGGGTAAGTGACTAGGTGAGTGACTGGGTGAGTGACTGGGTGAGTGTCTAGGTGAGTGACTGGGTGAGTGACTGGGTGAGTGTCTAGGTGAGTGACTGGGTGAGTGACTAGGTGAGTGTCTAGGTGAGTGACTGGCTGAATGACTAAGTGAGTGTCTAGGTGAGTGACTGGGTGAGTGACTAGGTGAGTGACTGGGTGAGTGACTGGGTGAGTGTCTGGGTGAGTGTCTAAGAGAGTGACTGAGTGTCTGGGTGAGTGACTGGGTGAGTGTCTGGGTGAGTGACTGGGTGAGTGACTGGGTGAGTGACTAGGTGAGTGACTAGGTGAGTGACTGGGTGAGTGACAGGGTGACTGGGTGAGTGTCTAGGTGAGTGACTAGGTGAGTGACTGGGTGAGTGTCTAGGTGAGTGACTGGTGAGTGACTGGGTGAGTGACTGGTGAGTGACTGGGTGAGTGTCTAGGTGAGTGACTGGGTGACTAGGTGAGTGACTAGGTGAGTGACTAGGTGAGTGACTAGGTGACTAGGTGAGTGACTAGGTGAGTGTCTAGGTGAGTGACTGGGTGTCTGGGTGAGTGACTGGGTGAGTGACTAGGTGAGTGACTAGGTGAGTGTCTGGGTGAGTGTCTGGGTGAGTGTCTGGGTGAGTGACTAGGTGAGTGACTGGGTGAGTGACTGGCTGAGTGACAAGTTGAGTGACTGGGTGAGTGACTAGGTGAGTGACTGGGTGAGTGACTAGGTGAGTGACTAGGTGAGTGACTAGGTGAGTGACTAGGTGAGTGTCTAGGTGAGTGACTAGGTGAGTGACTAGGTGAGTGACTAGGTGAGTGACTGAGTGACTAGGTGAGTGACTGGGTGAGTGACTGGGTGAGTGACTGGGTGAGTGTCTAGGTGAGTGACTGGGTGAGTGACTAGGTGAGTGTCTAGGTGAGTGACTGGCTGAATGACTAAGTGAGTGTCTAGGTGAGTGACTGGGTGAGTGACTAGGTGAGTGACTGGGTGAGTGACTGGGTGAGTGTCTGGGTGAGTGTCTAAGAGAGTGACTGAGTGTCTGGGTGAGTGACTGGGTGAGTGACAAGGTGAGTGTCTGGGTGAGTGACTGGCTGAGTGACAAGGTGAGTGACTGGGTGAGTGACTGGGTGAGTGACTGGGTGAGTGTCTGGGTGAGTGACTAGGTGAGTGACTAGGTGAGTGACTAGGTGAGTATCTGAGTGAGTGACTAGGTGAGTGACTAGGTGAGTGACTAGGTGAGTGACTGGGTGAGTGACTAGGTGAGTGTCTAGGTGAGTGACTAGGTGAGTGACTAGGTGAGTGTCTAGGTGAGTGACTGGGTGAGTGACTGGTTGAGTGACTAGGTGAGTGACTAGGTGAGTGACTGGGTGAGTGACTGGCTGAGTGACTGGGTGAGTGTCTAGGTGAGTGACTGGGTGAGTGACTGGCTGAGTGACTAGGTGAGTGTCTAGGTGAGTGACTGGGTGAGTGACTGGGTGAGTGTCTAGGTGAGTGACTGGCTGAGTGACTAGGTGAGTGTCTAGGTGAGTGACTGGGTGAGTGACTAGGTGAGTGACTGGGTGAGTGTCTAGGTGAGTGACTGGCTGAGTGACTAAGTGAGTGTCTAGGTGAGTGACTGGGTGAGTGACTAGGTGAGTGACTAGG